GACGCGCTGTCATGGTGAAGGTACATCGAGGGGGTGGTGGTCCACCTTTGCCAGTACCTGGCCCACTTGGAAAACTTTTGCCGGTAACCTCTGTATGTCAACGGTTAAGGGTTAGAGGACCGGGTTGCCGGCGCTGCTTGATCCACCCAGGAACCACATGGGATGGGGTTAAGCTAGTCGAAAACTGGGGAGCCGGCATTCTCCCCCGCACAGCTCCATTTTCCCACGTTCCCCAACCTTGTGCGGAGAAAGCCTACCGGTGGAAAAACATGCTTGGCCACGAACCGGGGATCATTGCCTCATCTTGGCAGAGGGGAACCAAGAACACCGATTTAGGATAAATTGAAGGGTGGGAATCAGAAGCCTTGGCACCAGGGACGATGCAACTGTCATCGTAAACTTGGTTCCGGCATCATGGAAGCATTTAAAGAAGACGGGACGATCCCCCCGCAAGTCAGCATGGCACGCCAGCAGCACCACTCGACGACGCCACGCACAAGCACTCGACTATGCGGAGCTTACTTCTGCTCGCGGCCGTCGGCCTGGCCGCCGCTGAGGACGGCCTCAATGCCTGGTTGCGGTACGCCCGGATCGACAGGGCGGGACATTGCCAGGGCAAGCTTCCCTCGACCATTGTCACCTTGAACGCCACGGAGGGCTCCCCAGTTTACACGGCCGGCCAGGAGCTCTCCAAGGGCTTCAACGGCATCGTCGGCAAGAAAGTCGACGTCGACAGCATCACCACGAGCAGCCGCGGGCACCACTCGCGGGACACCAATGCCACAGTTGGCACCATCGCGGCCTACGTCGACAGCAACCCCGGCGCTGCAGCCCGCCTCCCGGAGCTGATCGACGATGGCTTCTACCTCAGCGTCTCTCACGGAAGCATCCTAATTCTCGGCCAGAACGAGCGTGGCGCTCTGTACGGCGCCTTCCACTACCTCTCCCGGCTCGCCCAGGGCGACTGCTCCGACTTCACCCTGACCTCGAACCCCGGCGCGCCGATCCGCTGGGTGAACCAGTGGGACAACATGCAGGATGGCGGCACCCACGGCAGCGTCGAGAGAGGCTATGGCGGCAAGTCCATCTTCTTCTGGGACGGCAAGGTTCGCGACGACCTGACCCGCGCGGGCCAGTATGCTCGCCTGCTGGCCTCGATCGGCATCAACGCCGTGGTCGTCAACAATGTGAACGCCGACCCCAAGACTTTGACCCCGGCCAACATGGACGGCCTGGCGAGAATTGCCAACGCCTTCCGCCCGTACGGTGTGCAGCTCGGCTTGTCGCTCAACTTTGCTTCTCCTCAAACCCTCGGCGGACTCTCGACCTTTGACCCCCTGGATCAGAGCGTCATCACTTGGTGGCAGGGCATCACCGACGCTCTCTACCAGAGGATTCCCGACATGGTAGGCTACCTGGTCAAGGCCAACTCGGAAGGTCAGCCGGGTCCCATGACTTACAACAGGACGCTGGCCGACGGCGCCAACATGTTTGCCCGCACTCTGAAGCCCCACGGCGGCATCATCCTGTTCCGCGCGTTCGTCTACGACCACCGCACGCTCAACCAGACGCTCGACTGGAAGGCCGACCGTGCCAACGCTGCCGTCCACTACTTTGTATGTCACATTAGCGGGAGTCAGAGCTGCACCGTTGCTCCTGAATCATTCCCGACACCGGCTTCAAAGGCAAGAATTGACTGACGTTGAATAGGACGGTCTCGACGACAAGTTCGACGACAACGTTGCCATCCAGGTCAAGTACGGCCCCATCGACTTCCAGGTCCGCGAACCCGTCTCCCCACTCTTCTCGCACCTGCGCAAGACGGGATCTGCCATCGAGCTGCAGATCAGCCAGGAGTACCTCGGCCAGCAGGCGCACCTGGTGTACCTGGCGCCCATGTGGAAGGAGATTCTCGATTTTGATTTCCGCGTCGACGGCAAGCCGTCTACGACGGCCGACATTATCAGCGGCCGGCGCTTCCCGCGAAAGCTGGGCGGCTTTGCGGGCGTCGTCAACGTCGGCACCAACACGACCTGGCTCGGCAGCCACCTGGCCATGTCCAACCTGTACGCCTACGGCAAGCTCGCCTGGGACGCGAAGGCCTCGCCCGAGGGCGTGCTCAAGGAGTGGATCAGGCTGACCTTCAGCGACGACCACAAGGTCATCGACGTCATTACCAAGATGTCGATGGCCTCGTGGCCCGCCTACGAGAACTACAGCGGCAACCTGGGCATCCAGACGCTGACCGACATCCTCCTCGGCCACTACGGCCCCAACCCGGCCTCGCAGGACGGCAACCCTTGGGGCCAGTGGACGCGCGCCGATGCCGACTCGATCGGCATGGACCGCACCGTCTGGAACGGCACTGGCTTCGCGGGGCAGTACCCGCCCGAGATCGCGGCCAAGTACGAGAAGCCCGAGACGACGCCGGACAACCTTCTGCTGTGGTTCCACCACGTGCCCTACACGCATAAGCTCAAGTCTGGCAAGACGGTCATCCAGCACTTCTACGACGCGCACTACGAGGGCAGCGCCACGGCGCAGACCTTCCCGCAGCTGTGGCGCAAGCTCGAGGGCCGCCCCGGCATCGACAAGGAGCGGTTCGAGCACGTGCTGTACCGGCTGGTCTACCAGGCGGGCCATTCGCTGGTCTGGCGCGATAGCATCAACATGTTCTACTTCAACAAGTCCTCCATCGCCGACGTCCACGGCCGCGTGGGGAACCACCCATACCGGATCGAGGCCGAGGCCATGACGCTGCAGGGGTACAAGCCCTACCAGGTCTCCCCTTTCGAGGCGGCCAGCGGGTTCCGGTGCATCGTGACCGAGACCAACTCGACGCAGGGCACGGCCAGCACGGTGCTGGACAAGGTCAAGACGGGCAAGTACGACGTGGCGGTCAACTACTACGACATGGCGCTGGGCAATGCCACGTGGGAGCTGTACATTGGCAACGACCGCGTCGGCAAGTGGAAGGGCGACCTCGAGTATAACTTAGGACGGGCTCCCTCGCCGTACATTGACGGCCAGACGGCGACGCGGATCACGTTCCCTGGCGTCAAGATCAAGAAGGGGAGCACCCTCAAGATTGTGGGCACGCCGGATGGGCTGGAGCCGGCGCCGGTGGATTACATCTCGATTTTGCCAGAAGGAATTGTTGACTAGGGAGGGTTCTGTCGGCTTCTGATGCCTTAATATTGTTCAATACGAATAATACAAGAACAAGCTATACCATACATCTCCCTGCCGTTGTGGTGGTGCCCCTTTTTTCAGTGGATGCTGGCGTTAAGAGGGCTTACAGGAAAGGGACAGCTTGAACCACACAGCAGCAGAAAGTCATTGAAAGGTCAACACCGATTGAGGAGGTGTTCACCATCCATCAAGTCATCAATACTTTACATCTTAATCCTCCACACATTAAGTAAGTATGCCCTAACCCAAGGAAGACGGACTTGTAGATGCACCGGGTTATGATGTATCCGTAGACACAACATGCAATCCCAATCACCAGACCAAGACCTACCCCTCAACGCCAACCTCCCTTTGCCCGCCGCGGTCCCACAACAACCCACTGAACTTCCTCCTCAGCCCCATCCGCTGCAGCAGCGTCCCCTTGCTCCCTTTCGCGACGGGACTGACGTCCGTTTCCGATTGTACTCCCGGCGACATCAGCGAGACCGGCAACATACACGGCGGCAGCCTGGCAGCCCCCAAGTCCAACGGTGCCGGGATGGGGCGTTGTGTCTCGCCCTGTCCCTGCCCCTGCCGTTGCCCCGGAGTTTGAGTCTGAGCTTGGCTTTGTGCTTGAGTCTGACTCTGAGGCGGCGCCTTCTGCAAGGTATTCCTCCCCGCCTTGCCTCCAGGTTTGGAGACGACATCTGCCGCGGCAGAAGGTCCGACCGACTCCCAGCTCCGCTGCGGCTGGTGTCCGCTCAGGTACCCGCTGTCCACCGACTCCCTCCCGGCCACCCTTGGGGGCGGCGGCGGTATGTGCTCGCGTGCGGCAGCCCACTTGCGCCCCTCGACGACTTGGTCTTCGAGGCGTCTTGAACGGACACTACGGATTGAGGCCGTTTCTTCATTCCGGTGAGCCATGGGGACCAGGGGAGGAAGGGGCTCGATGGTGGCGAGTGAGATGTCGACGTGGCGGAGAGACTTGGCTCGTCTTCGGGCGGGCCGGTCCTCGTTGATGTCGGTTTCGGGTGGGGTAGCTGTAGGCGCCGAGTAGGCGTCGCGTTGATACGGGGCTCGGGTCTGGGGGATTTGGAGGGTGTCGAGACGAGGTCTCGAACCTGACCTCTTGTGGTACGTGGTGCCGATTGCGTTACGTGGTGCGGCGTGGCCTCTGGCTTGTGGTTCTGGTGATGTTGTCACGGAGCTCCGTGTGTCTGGTGTTGGTATCTCCTGTGCGTGGCCGATGTTCCTCTCAGTATCCTCTGGAGCCACATGCTCATCGATCCGTCTCATCGTGGTATCCACGCTCCTGTCCCGGATGGAGCGGGCGCCGGCCCTTCGGCCCCGGCGATTGGGGCTGCTGAGAAGGAGATCCGGATTCTGGTCCGGAGGGTCGTCACACGATGGAGACACGGCGTTTCTTGGGACAGGCTGGGTAGGCTCAGACTGCCCCTCGGTCGCATGCCTCAACACCCCTTCGCTTCGGCTCCGATGGACGCTGCATCTGCGGTGCATGTCCGGGCTTGATGGCAAGCCCATGACGCCAACAGCACGCGGAATGTCCAACGAGTTCTTGGGTCGTGTCTGCCGCCCTGTGATTGATGGCCGCCGTTCTTCCACTTGTGCCTCCACTCCGTTCCCCAAAGGTAATGAGATCTCACTCCGGCCATGGCGCTTTGTTAGGCTCGGCGGGGGCGGCAGAGCGACATCCGCCGAAATTGAGCGCCTATGAGAGCGATGAGTGCTCCTGCTTCTCTGCCTCTCCATGCGCTCTCGGTCGCCCGAGGTCTTGGTCCGCCCAGCAGCCCTTGGGCGAGTAGCGAAGGACGCTGATGACTCGGAATCGGATGAGTCCAAGACGAGTTCCCGTCTTGACCTCCGTTTGCGAACATCTCTGCGAGTTGGTTGTTCCAGCTCCCGGTCAGAACTCTCCGTGTTCGGAGTCCTGTCCCTAGCAGATGCGGCTGGACCGGTGGTGTGTTGAGGGTATGGTTCCTCTGCGTTGTCGTCGTCCTGTGGCCGCGCATTGACCGAGTCGAGAACAAACTGCTGGACAGCAATGGGCCCGTGCAGCGGGCAGGAGAGGACGTTGGTAGACAGCTTCCTGAGCTGTTCGACCCTGTGCGAAGCTTCGACGGAGCAATACCTTCCCCTCTCAACGGCGGTGTTGCACTTCACCCACTGAATGTAGTAGTGTTGTTGGCCATCGTTGCAACCAGTGTAAGGTGTGTAGTCGTACGTGCACATGGTGGGCAATGAAGGCAGAAATGCCCCTGCGTCACCGAAAGTGGCGATGATCTTGAGAGGCAGTCATGACAATATGGGAGATCGGCAAGGATGCCGTCCGCGTGGCGGAAGAAACGATCCTTAATACCGGAGGCTGGCCAAGTCGAGCGTAAACTGAAGCGGTCTGGCTGGTGAGGAGTTGAGGTCGTCACGCGTTAGTTCGGCTTGGCTGAGATAGGGAAGCCCTGCAAATCTTGCAGACCAGCGCTGCCGGCGCCATCACGCTTCCTCGAAGGATCATCAATTGCATCCCCCGCACATCTCTCAGGCGATCTTGGAAAGTAAAAATAGGAACCTCTTCAGCACATCGCCCACCATTGGCGCCGGTCCCAGCTTGGCGGGCCAAGATTGGCCTGATTTGGGTGGTCGCTCCGGCTGTTTGGGCTTGCGACCGCCAAAGTCGGCCGAGATTGGCTTGGCGTATGCAGTGCCTGCAGGTCAGCGCTTAAAAGTCGACGGTGTGTGATGTGATCCAGTGAAAATGGCGAGAGAGCTGGGAACTTTTGAGTGGAAACACAGTCCGTCGTCGGTCTTGTCCAAAGCATCAGCGAATCTTCAAAAATGCAGATGCTCGGAGGCTCCGCTGTGATGGGATTCAGTCATCTGGACCTTCATATGATGACTGGAATCGGCGCTGGCCTTGGGATGAGCTTGATTGATGGCATTTGCATTTCTTTGCTCAAGAACAAGAAGATGAAAGATTCATTTTGACCGATAGCGGGAATGCCCAAAATGAACCCCTTGCCCGGGCTGCTCGTGATTTCCGTCAATTCAGCAGTTCCCCTCTAAGTTGGAAAGACCAAAGCGACAGGCCATTCTTAAGCAGGTGCCCCCGAGCAGCATCACAAATCCGGCGCATGATGACACTCTCCATTGGTCTCACACACTCGGAGGATTTTGACCTGTTCGAAACCCAAGAACACCAATGGAAGACAGCTCCATGTGGCAGCGGACTGTTGGTGATACAAACCAGCTGGCTGGGTCCTCGTGTCCTTACGCGCTTCGGCAGTCACCAGTCGGTAATACCACACCAGCCACGAGTGCCCTGCACGGCATGCATATCAGTCCGCTGGACCGCTGGGAGGTTCGAACCATGCATCATTGCCGCTTGCGGCGTTGGCAGCCGCACCTCTGCAAAAACTGTTCCTACTCTGCCGCTGACCTTCCCAGGACGGTGCTCGGGATTCCGGAATATTGATTGGCCAGCAACACACTGTACAATCCGGCTCTGTTTGTTCGTTTGACGTGGGCATCGATGCACTACCGTAGACATGAACTGAATGGAACAATGAAATAACTTACAAGGAAAGAAAGAACTTGGAAACGAGGACGATAAACAGAAATCATTGAAGATGAAAATAAGAAGAGTATAGGCAAGAGGAAGACAACCAAAGGTAAGTAGGGAGAGGGAAAGCACATTTTGAAACAAGGAAACAAGAAAGGTCAGGGTGAAAGAAACTGAAGTTTTGGTACGAAAGTTCCGCGCTGACAAACAAACCAGGGCTCGATTGTAATGATGCCAAGCACCAGACACTACTTGCAGAATCTTGATCCAAGGACAACAATGGTGCCCGGCTCCCCTTCTTAATGGTGGTTCCTGCGTCCATCTTCATGGAGCAGACATCGTGCATCCCAGCCACTGCGCTTCCAAGTATCTAGGCCCCTTTTTGATGTGCGTCAGTTGTCAGTCTATCCAGGAAACCCTCTACCAGCGCGTTTACTGTGCCTGCACCACATTTTCGCCTCAACCCCGAGGGTGAAAGTGGAATGTTGGAGAGAGGGGAGGGAAGAGAGCTGGGAAACGGCGAGACTCGAGGGATCCATAATTGATATGGTTGAGCCGACGGCAAGTGGAACAGCGTTATAAGTTTCACAGCAATGTCACCAACAACCAAAGTCCAAGAGAGGAAAGGAGCAGGGGAGCGCAGTGAGGCTCCAAGTCTCGTTTTCGGAAGACAGACTCCAGGCTTTCTGCCAGTCTACTCACTAAAACTGAGATCGGAGGAGAAGCTGCCTGATAGACGTTCAAGTCACAGTAATCACAACTTCAGGAACAATGAAATGAATGGTGTCATTATGTCATGTTCACAGGTGCCGCAGATTTAAGAGTACTGTATGCCCTCCATATGGCGCCAGCTCCAAATGACCATCCCAACCAAAACAAGACAGTGATGGAACCCCAATCAACGCCCCCTCGTTCCTCGTATCTTCATGAGTCACATATTATACATTCAACTCGTGTCTCATCACGCATAACCGTAATCGTGCCCAGCCCCTTTTCCCTTCTCGCGATCACCCACTAAGATAATACCTTCCCTGGGACCGACTCCTGGACCGCCTCCCCTCAGCAGCGGGATAAACGTACGTCGCCGACGGCCGCCTGGGGACCGTAGTATACTTCTCCTCAACCACCACCGGCCTTGACGACGACCTATGCCTGCTGTGATGCCTGCCATGACGGTGATGGTGGTGGTGGTGATGCCTGCTTTGCGAAACCGACCGCGACCGCGACCGAGACCGCCGTGGCGGCATTGTGTCATCGTACCAACCCTGCCGGCTGGCGTCTGGTTTGCTGGGCTTGGTGCACGACTTGATGATCCACCATATTATCAGGATGCCAACGATGGTGCCGATGACGATGCCCGCTATGGCGCCGCCGTCGAGGCCGTTGTTGGAGGATGAACCGGTGTTGGAGTCAGAGGCGACGACGACGGTCGTTGCGGCGGTTGTGGTGGCTTCTTGCCGCGCGAGGAGGCGGGTGAGGCCCTGGGGAAGGGTTGGGGTTGGTGCCATCGTGTTCAGTTTCCGGGGCACAGGTAGGTTCGGAGCGTGCTGCAGTTTGAGAGACAGTTCTTGGGTTCTTGGTCCCAGTTTGGGTCGGAAGAGACGCGTGGAAGCCCGGATGTGGTGGCGAGGTTCTGACCGAGTCCCGTCGAGCTTGACCGGGTGGTGACGGGTGGCTGGCCACAGAGCTCCTCGAGAATAAGCTACTCCGATGACTTATAGCACCGTAGTGGAGGATGGCGAGAATGACCAGTTGTGAGACAGCGACAGCTCAGATATACAACTCGATAAGTTCGGCTGTTCCTGGCCATAACCGGGCACGACAGCCGAGTGGGACGTCATCGCGCTGGCTCAAGTTGCATTTTCCCGGAAATGCAAGACAACCACGGAAATCACCGGGCTCGGCTCAGTGGCCCGGAATGCAGACTCATTGGCGCCGCGCAGCTGCAGAGTGTTGATCATGACGGCAGCTAGGGAAGCCTTGGACGCTGGTCGGGAGTGGGTCTTTCACCAACCCCTCATTCTTAATCTGAATGAGGTTCGAAGAAAATGTCGGCGGGCCGGGATTCTCTGCCACTCCAAAAAAGATGACGTCACACCACCTTACCAACCGAACAGCCTACGGAATATGCATGTATTGTTCGCCAGTGAAGACAACCCTCAATCAAGGTTCAGGTTTTGACAACGACCTTTAGCGTTGCTCTCATGAACCGGACGGGCAAAGTCAAAATACAACAAACCATTGGGGGTCTGTGATTGAGCTTTGAGGGTATCTAAGTAACTAGTCAATCTAAGTGTCACATCTATGCAAAATACCCTGGAGAGCCTGAGGTGTAGCGTAGGCCGACGCAAAGTTTGGGAAAGCAAAAGTTAGACTGAGACTCTGGCGGCACGGAAGTTATACACCAAATGGACTCTGGAGAGTCTTGCCACAAGTCTCGCCGTCATGCTGGGGTGATCGACATATGATGTACGAACGCACCTTCTGGTGTACCGCCAACGGTCTGCTCTAACAGCATGAACTGCCAAGTCAGTGAGGTTACAACTGTAAGTGCAGTCAGGGAGAGTAAGTACTGTGGTACCTTGGCGTTCAACCTACAAGTGACGCAACCTATCTCTGAATACGCCACAAGCTAGCCTGGCCAAGAGGACTGCTAAAACAGTCCACGACGTGAAGATTGAAGATACCGGTTTGCCTGCTAACAAAAGGCAAAGTTCGATTAGGCCTAAAGTCAGCACACCGAACTGAAACCATTGCAGTCTCCCACACCGACACCCTGGGATTTCCTTTAAAGAACCCTACCCAAACCAGAAGTCCAGCGCAGCTACAGCCTAGAAGTCAACCCGAGAAACAATCCCGCGAGCGTCACAATGCAGGAACACCGTGGCCGCCGACATCGACGCTATAATGACGGCGATTACTACGATGACTCAGACTACGAGCAGCGTCCCCGCCGGCGGTCCGTAGCGCGGCAAGCCCTTGACAAGCTCGAAGATGCGTTGGGCGGCCTCGGCCTCGACAGCGGCACAAGCCACCACTCCCCCTCAACATCCTCCAGGAGGCATTATGATTCCCGCGATCACTCCCGCGACCGCACCGCGGGGCGCTATTATCCGCCCTCTTCCCACTCCAACACCCACCGCCGATACCACAGCTCCTCGCCCACCCGGCGCTCTCGCCGTTCCCGCCGCGACAGTCCTCCCCAACACCGCGCCTCTTCACGAAGCCGCAACCGGTGGGAACGTGGCATCGAAGCGGCCGTCGAGGCGGGCGCGGCCGAGGCGTTTCGACTGCGCAAGGAGCCGGGTCCGTGGAAGGGTCCCAAGGGGGAGAGGGTCGCTACGGCGGCCATAAGTGCCGCGATGCTGGGAGCTGCGACCGAGAAGAGGAAGCAGGATCACAGCGGCGGGAAGCTGGGCACGTTGGGCTCGGCGGTGGGAGGGTTGGTGGTCAATAGGCTTGTCAATGGGCCGCGAAAGGAAGTGAGGGGGTGATCAATACTTCTAGGCTGGGACATTTTGGGTTCTTTTTCAGCTGAGATGAATAGGTAATTATCGCATGTGCAGGCGTGGGCTGATTCTATTTTCTTGACACCATACAATAGCCCTCAATCGACTGCCACTGTCTTCTCCTCTTTATCGTCGACGATGGACTGGGCGTTTTTTTTCACGTACACAATTCAGATTATTGCGGGGACTCAGATTCAGGAGCGGGAGGAGGAGCGGTTGCACTGGCTCGCCTTGTGTAAGGGAGTCACAGAACGTCATTGTACAAACCGCCGTCTTTGACGTCATGATATCGAAGCGAGGCCAACGTACAAGACTCACTCTTACCAAGTTTTAAATTGAAACTTGCCATAACACTCATCAGAGCCATTCGACAAAGCTTTTCGATTGAAGTACGCTCGGGCCTGAATTTGCCGTACCAGACATTCCACCTGACCGGCCGCTGCAGACCTTGCACCATGGCTGCCCCTGAAGGAGTCGTATTGAGAGACCTGGGCACCGAACCTGAGCCGAAGAAAAACACCGACGACGGTGTCCTGTCAGACAACATCACAGAGAAGCCCACCGAATCGCATGCACACGCGGTTGAAGCGCCAGTTGTCGAGGGTGGCAACCTGGTCGACGATGGCTGGAACAAAGATGACCCAAGCGACATCCAACGTCTTGTAGATGGACTCAGCAATGAAGATTTCTGGTGTCTCGTGAGGCGCTTCAATAAGGTACGCGGACACTCTTTGTGCCGATTCAATTTGTTGACCAGTACGCAGCAAGTGTTTTACATCAAGGAAACCAACAAGATTCCACCCAGCGGCTTGGACTTGAACTTGGCCGATGATGCTGAATTTTCCGCCAATAAGTTCAGGTCCCAGATCGAGAGGCTGTACATGGGACCGGTAAGCTGCTAAGGTCCGTTGTGGTCTACGATTGGGGTAGTTTCTAATCCAATCTCAGCTCCTTGGGATTCTGGCTGGTGTGAAGCACATCGCAAGACTACGGTCCTGGATTGAACCCCGGAGGACAGGGGCATTTTGTGCTGTAAGCACGCCTTTGACGGTTCCCGTATTTCTACATTGTTGTCGCTAAGTCTTCCCAGGTGTACTTCGTGGCATGGTGCTTCAACACCCTCCTCGCAGTCTTTATCACCACCGCGATGACACTATGCATTTCGCCGAAAGCACGGAACCTGCTGTTTCCTCCTGCCCCGATGGCATTAACAGATATGGCAACTGGCGGTTTGACAAAGCCTCGCGCCGGCGTCCTCGGCGCAACGGACGCGGTGACGGGCGCGCCGGAGAATGTCAAAGGGGAATCGGTCGAGAACGAAGCCAGCAACTTCGTGACGTCTCTCGTAGGAATTGCCGTCAACACACTGACGGCGCAAGACCCAAAGGCCGAACCGGAGAATGAAAAGGGGGAGAGCCACCCTACCGATAGCATGCCGCAGCCCAATGAGGCGACGACACTGTTTGCTGTGGCCAAGGACAAAGCTGCTGGTATCAGCGAGCCCTCGCATGACAAGACGAAGTACCCCATGGAGACCATCATGTGGTCCAAAATGCTGCCCTTGATGCGGCTTGTGCATTTCATTTCGGACAATTGGGAGCGAATCGCAAAGTATGTTCCTGATCAGCATCTTCGTAGATGGCATGAACAGTCTACTAACAGGGTTTACGCAGTGTATTGGACCCAACGCCCCCTTTTCCTCGGGAAACGCACAGAGTCCGCCTGGCTGGCCTTCTTTCTCCCATGCTTGCGGTGTCCCTGTTGTTCTCGGGAGCTAAAATCATCAAAGCCACAACCTTCATTTTCGGAGTCATCTTCTTCGGCGACCCACTGATTCGACGTACCGTAGGATGGCTCGACCGCTGGCATCCGGGATGGACCCAATTACTGCGTCTTGAGGCCCATCTCCTACGTGGCGTCCCGAACGATGCCCAGCTCGCCATCACGCTCCTTCGCCTCGGCGAAGCACATGGAGCCCCTTTCCCGCCGGCTCCCAGCACCGACAAAAGCCCTCCCCAGGAGCCATTGGAGTTCACTCCTGAGGATATGGACGCGGCCGGCGACGACGCGCCACTCGGTGCCACTCAGGACGAGATCGACCAGGCAAAGGCGGCAGACCCGGACAGGCTCGAGCAGGCTGGGTAGGTTTATAATGGATACCAAAATTAGATATCGTTACTAACGAGGCTTAACCAGGGGGCCCGACTCGGAGATCAAAGACACGGGTGGACCCAAGACGAGCCGATTTCTTGCATTCGTCAAGGGCAGCGCAAAGCTGGGCGTCAAGGCGGCATTGCAGGCCGACAAGCTGCGTGCCAAAGCCGGACGCGAGAGCGCCAAAAACCGTCTGGGAGCTGTGCCGCCCGAGGGCGCGAGCAACCAGAAGGAAGGACCGACAGAGTTCAGCGCTCATTGGGACGGCAAGCCGGGACATGTTCGCATCAGTCCCGGCGGGTTTGTTTCATTCGATGACGACTGGAGTATCCGCGCGGCAGACATTACGGAGCTGAAGAAACATAGTGGAATAGGAGTCAAGTCTAAACTAGCTATAGGCTGGGCCATGGACCGCGATGTCGCCGATGGTGTTGAGATCAAGGATCGCAACGGGAACACCTATGTTCTGTCGGCTGTGCCGTTGAGGGATCAGCTCTTCAATAGGCTTTGTGCCATGGGCGGGCAGAAATGGGAAGTGTGGTAATGGTACCAGGAGAGGTTGGTGCATGGCATGGAATAACTAAAACTCGTGAGAACTCGAGAAGCCGTGGGCTTGCCTTCCGGCGCTGTGTCTCTTGCACAATGAGTGCCACTTGGTTTGTGGTGGCCTTGCCTTACGTCTCTTTGTTATACCTGACTACTTCGCTTGGTTTGACGTACTTTCTATTATCTGTTTCCCTGCTGGAAGCGTGAAACTGGGCTTGTAGAATTTAGCGTTCAGTGGTGTGGCGAGTCCGGTTGCGTCACCCCACCATCTCAAAGGAGGCCATGTAAGTCGTCAAAAGATTGCTCCGACCATCCCGTGACGGCGATCCTCAGAGGTCCTTTGACGAGGATAGACGAGCTATATCCGAGACTCCAACGGAAAGGCAGCTCACTCGTCCGGACTGCTTCACACGGGGAAGACAAAGACCGAGATGACGTTGCATGATATCATTCCCCAGCCGACGCATCCCCAAACCATGCGATGCCCTCCCCTCACCATATATCTACATCAATCCTCGCTGCCGCCGGTCTTGGCACCGTGAACCCCTTCCCTCATCACCACTCTGACATCTGAACACAATCGAATCAAACCTAGCTCTGAAGCAGATAATAACAAATGTACAACCCCAACGAACGCGGCATCCGCAACCCCAACGCCCAAGCCACGGTCGGCGCCACAGCCACTGGCCAAGGCGGGCTGACCTACGGCCAATCCGCCGCCTCGGGCCCAGCTCCGACAACAGCAGGCCATCACCGACACGACATCCTCAACAAACTGGACCCGCGCGTCGACAGCACTCACGACCGCCAGCCCATGTCCCAAACCGCCTCCTCGGTCCCCCAAGGCACCTACGGTCCGCACTCGTCTCGCATCGCCAACGCCCTCGACCCGCGAGTCGACTCTGACCTCGACAGCACCCGCGCTGCAGGCCATGGCGCCGGAGGTGGACTCGCGGGACCCGCTCATCCCGCACCACGTGCAGCCATGCACGGCGCTGTCGGCAGTGGCGGTGGCGCGGCCGAGGGGACATACGGTCTACACTCGACCCGCATGGGCAACGCTTTAGATCCCCGCGTTGACTCGGACGGGGACCGGCACGTCGGGCCAGGCGCGACACACGCGCCCGGTGGTGCGTTCGGCGGCGGCGGTGACAGTTCGACGACGGCCGCTGCTGGCGCGGGGCCGTGGAAGTCGAATACGCTGAATAAGCTTGACCCGAGGGTCGATAGTACGACGGGAGCTTGAAAGGGCGGTTCTGGCAGCAGGGGGATGTATTAAGGGGGTTGAAGGTGATCAAAAGGAACGAAATTGTAGGCAGATTGAGAACGGGAAGAAGGATTGGAGGGAATGAATGATACCAAGTTGTTATTTCCTTGGGTTGGATGACTTTGGATTTGTCATAGGACTTGTTTGCCATGTTCGCGGTTTCTTTCCTGTCAAAAGAAAACGATTGAAACAAATGTAACGTTAGCAGCCTGATGATTGATTGAGAACGAATCCAAATATCTTCCGGGCATAACAAAGTACATGTACGTGGCGAGGAAACAGTGAAGCAGATCACCGGCTGCAGAACTTCAGAGGTATCGACCTAGCTACCTAACCAGCCATCCCAGGGGAATATCAAGGAAAAGTACCGAGAACTCCTGTCCGCGGTGAGAAGAAAGTGTGAGGAACCGCCCACCACCGTCAAGCGACTCCAAGGAAAGCCGACCCAATGACAACATTCAAAACGCCTCCTTGACAACATCATCCTTGCCCAGCTTGTACCTCCCACTTCCTGGTGTACCAATCCGCCCCGAGCCCCTGCGCCCGGCAATGCCAAAATCACCAGCAATGCTCTCCCGCGTCGGCCGCTTCAGACGCGTATGGTTGATCATGTTGACCTCATGAGGCAGCGCCACAATGACATTCTTGTCGGTGCCAAACTTGAAATCATCCGCCTTAACATCATCCGTGTACCGCTTGATCAGGTATGGCGCCTTCCGCCCGTTCAGAACCTTCTTAAGGCTCCACTCGATGATGTACGGGCCCGTGGCTGTGATGATGCTGGTCTCCGAGGCCCCCTCACCCGTGTTGAACTTGGCGGGTGTGAAGCTGACACCCTTGCCAGTCTCGTAGGCGAACTGGGCGACGTGTTCAGGTGCGAGGGCGAGGCGGCGCGGTTGCGGCTTCGCGTCGGCGGCAAAGGACCTCTCGAAGCCCAGCTTGCCCTCGTTCTTGCCTGACTTCTGCAGCGCGTCAATGAGGAGGAGGTATGTCCGGCACGTGGCAAGTACCCAGCGGCCGTCGGCAGAGACGTCAAGCCCGATGATCGGCTCGCCGAGAGCGGGAATGTGTGTCTTGGCGTTCACACCTAGGCGGTCAAAGAGCCGAACATCACCCTTGTTGGAAGCCACCGCGATGTATCCCTTCTCGGTGGTCGCAACTGCCGAGAAGTCGTTCTTGCTCACGTATTGCTTGAGCTGGGCATCAACAAGCTTGCTGCCAGACAGACGAGGATCCACGCGGTAGAGGGCATTCCGGCTGATGCCGAGGAACGTTGGCTCGTGCGTCATCTGAGCGAACTTGTTCTCCGGCGCAAAGGTGACGACCGGGATGTCTTCGTGTACCGTCCATTCGTCGACAACCTTGCCGTACTCGAGATCCATGCGGTACAGCTTGTTCGGATCCGAGTCCTTTTGCAAGATGAGATTCCGGTCTTCGTTGTGGAGCATGACCTTCTTGGGAGAGAACAGCTCGCCCTTTGGAGTCTCAACCTTGGAAATGTTGGTGCTAAACTCGAGGTGGTTGTTGGGGGTGTGTTTAAACACGCCGATCTTGGAACCGCGGACCACAAACGACCGGTCGTGCTTGTAGCCAACCGCAAGCTGCTTGTTGACTTCGCCGTCTTTGGGCTTGGACTCGACGTCATCCGCTTCCTCGTCGCTGTCGTAGTGCTCGCTCCGAGCTCGATCATCCTCCGCTTCCTCCTCCTCAACTTGCTCCTCCTCTTCCTCCGGTTGCTCGGAATCCTCCATTGTCAGGTCGTTGAAAGCATCCGCAACATAATCGCGCTCCTTGTCCTTGATCTTGGACCACTTCATCTCGTTCAACTGCTCCCAGAGGGCTTGGAGCAGGCCCTCCTGGAACCGCTCGAGGGTGGCCTGGTCCTTGAACCGGAGAAGCCATGAGTAAGCGGAGCCGTCTTCGCGGAATTGGTTGAAGATGAACGACAAGAACTCAAAGTTGAATACCGGGTTGATGTCGGCAACGACGGGAATGCCCAGCCAGTCTCGGTCCGAGCTCTTAACTTGAAGCCAGTATTGCCAGTCGCCCGTTTCGGACACGGTCGCAGTCACGGACGAATCTTGGAGAACGAAGGCTCCTGAGGGAAAATCGAAGAAGTGGAGCTCGGCCACCTCTGCCGCCAAGATCTCGCGCGCCTCAGGATGGCCTGACACTGCCGGAGGCTTCATGTCCCGATCCTTGCCCTTCTTCGTCGGTGTGACTTCCGTCTCCCGTTTAACGGCCGTATTGGCGGAAGGCCTGCTGAGAACCATGGAGTCGATGGAATCCCGTGACTTCACGATCGTCGGGCTGTGCAGCGGACTGGCCTGCGGGATAGGTTGCTCGTCGAACTCGAATTGTTGAAGATCCTCTTCCGTTGCTGTCGTGTGCGGTTTTCGGTACTTGCGCTCGTACTGGCACTGCCGCGCGACGCGCTCGAATTTCTCAACCTCTGAAGAAGAGACGGCGACGTCGCAGACAAACTCGTAGACGTCACCAGCGTCGCCGCTCAAGTCGCGCCAAGCCAGAACCGTTTCGCTTCCTTCGCGGTTCTTAACTCGGAAGTGGAGCGCTTCGTCCAGCAGAAAGGTCTTCTCGTCGCGCTCCCCAGCCAGAATATCGGCGTCAGCCTCGGCGTCTTCACCCTCCTCTTCAGCAAGTAGCTCGGCTTCGCCCTCCTCGTAGACTCGCTGGACGACAAGCTGGTACTGGAAGTCCTGCGCAGTGCGCCGAATGCGCGTGGATGCGTCTTTGAAGATGAGCTCGGAGTAACCTTTCGGCGAAAGCGGTCGGACTAGGTACAGCTGGCCTTGGGGCAGCTCTATTATCGACTCCTGGTTGTTGGAGCCAAAAAGAAGCTTGCCAACTAGAGGACTGAGTTAGTGACAAGTAATATAGAAAACCATCAAAGAAAGATGTCAGTGCATCCTCGCAGTTGCCTTGAACTTGACGACAAAGCCAAAGCCTGAAATCATCGAAGGCGAAGGAGGGGCTTGTTGCCAGGGCCGACCAAGCAAGCGGGGCAGAGCTTACCATTTCTGAGCACAAACATGGTGCTGAATTGTTTGGGAAAGATGTCTCTTAGCTGCTGAAATTGGCAGTGGAAAGCCGCGATGATCCAGTGTGAAAGGAAGAAAGAAAGAAATGATGGACGAGGGAAGAAGGAAGCTGCCTGTGCGACTGAGATCTTCCCTGGCTCTCCGACACCGCGCACGCAGGCAGAATCTTGGCTTTGTGACCGTGAGAGACCTGTGGTGCGTCATAACATGCCACCACAAAAAGACGTCGGGGATTTGGAGGGAATGCTGTGGCGGTGCCGGCAGCTGAGTCGCCACAATTTTGAAACTCAGCGCCACAACCAGGGAGATGTGGGTACAGTCACAAGTGTTCTTGCTCCGTCACTCTGCGCTGTATTGTTTCCTGGGTTCATCCATAGTAACGCATTGCTTGTTCGTAACTCATTCCTTGCTAATAACCATTCCCTTGTTCATATAATTTTCGCCCAGACGAAGCAGCGCTGTCGTGTTTCTTTAAATTGATGCCGCTTCGCTCGTTATCCAATTCAGCAGCGTCTAGGCCGTCATGTCATCAACGATGCGCCGCGCCACGTTCTTGCCCATCAGGGCGTTGGTCTCCATGCATAAGAGCAAGAGCTCTCCACCGACATGTAGTAGACCCTCGAGCCGACAATGGGGTCCTGGAAAGTCGTTCGCGGAGAGGTCTTGGGGTACGCGTAGAAAACTTGTGGCGCATACCACGAGATGGGGCTGTTGGCCCCAGTGAAAGTCGAGGGGACCGTGGCTCCCAACAAGCGACTGCAGAGACACTGGGGTTAGTGGGACGGATCGGGCAGTTTACTTTGAATGGTAGACTCACGTTGGCTCTGCGGGTTGGCAGCGCTTTTAATGGCCATCATGCTGAAAAAGCCCGCCTTGCCTGCTCCATCGACACCTGAAGTCGGCGTATCGCTCCGGGCGAGAGTGGTGAGGATCGTGAGGGGTGCCTGGGCTGAATTGGGCAGATCAAAAAAACCCGGATTGAAGCGATTTGACGAGGTAAAGGTGGTGACGTGGAGCTGCACGTAAGGTACTTGCGCAATGGAAGTCTGGAGAGACCCCTCGCCAGCTGAGATGCCACTAAACTGATACGGGTTGGCGATGATGACATTGTCAAACGCGGCCGGGTGGCTACCGGATGTTGTTTGAACGGTGTATTGAGAGCCGCTTGGCGTCTTCCCAATTTCACTGACCGCTGTGTTGAGAAGAGAACGGCACCCGGCCTCTGAACCATCTCGTGGAATATTTGCCAGTTGCCACTCTGGACGGACAGCGCGCCTTGACCGGCCAAGGAAAGCTGAGACGTTAGATTTGGTGGACAAATTGAAATTACGGACAACCTACGATGGCGGTAAGCCCGTGTATCCGGGCGAATTTAGAGGCATAGTTGACACGTGTGGCGGATTGGATCATGTCATGGGCAAAACGGTTACCAACCTCTCTAGTTAGAAAGAAGTGTCGGCATTCGAGTTGGAGGACTTACGCCACTGTCTCTCAAGAACTGTTCGCCAGTGACACCCGTCACGTTATCAAAAAGGTCAAGTTCTTGTACCCGTTGGGTGAGCGACTCGAAGGGCAAGAACTGTGGCTCGTAGAGGCGAAGGAACTTGGTGAAGGTGGCATTCACCAAGTCCTGAGCTCGCTGCGGCGACGTTAGGCCGTACTCCAAAATCACCTTCAGGTTATTCCACAACGCTGGCGCGCTCCGGTCGATGGTGAAGACGAAGCATTCACCGTCCCAGATGCCCACGACGGGGTCCGCACCAGAGTCACCAAAGCTTCGGCGAGAATCCGAACTCGGTCATGGATTCATAGGGTATGTAATTGGCGAGGACGAAAATGCTTGCGCCCTGCTCGACACGATGGGCTGGGTCATTGAATGGGTTGATGGTCAGCGTGCGGCCGCCGATGCGGGCTGTCTTCTCGAAGAGGTTGATATTGACATAGACCTCAGCTTTGATGCTGCATATTTTGCAGAAAGTTAACTGCAGAGGCTCCTGCTGGGCCGGCTTATGCGCACAAGTTAGCGGGTGCCCTGGAAGCCAGTCTGTAGCGAAGTGGATGATCGAGGATTGAGAATAGGAAGGGTGCAAACCAATAATAGCAACCTGAGGATTAGCTGTTTGGGCAGTCACGAGGCTCAGAAGGGCGGCCGAGACGGCCACAAAATCGATCGTGAAACCTCATAACGACGACGGCGAGGGTAGCGTTGAAGTTGCAAGGCGATCGGGTCAAGCTTGGAAGTCCTAGCCAGGGAGCCCGGGATGGTCGTTGGAACATTCCTCTCCTCTGAGGGAGCTGATTCTGACGGGGGCTTATCTTCATCTCGACGGTATGAGCATCGTTTCTGACCTCCAGCAGAAACACTAACACCAAGCATTGACGCTGAGGCTTCGGGCAGAATGTCTGAAGTTGAGACAATGACATATCTAGAATGGAGTGCACGAATGGGCTCGGGAAGGCCGTCAACAGATGAGTGCGTCAATAGCGGTGGATAGGGAACCAGCTCCATGTGAGACTTAGCTAGATCCATGTAGGTGTTCCTTCCAGGAACCAATATATCGTCCACGTTGTACATACTGCTTGCTGCCTTCGCCGTACCTGGTCTGGCGTTTTCACACTGGGCGGCCGGACCATTGGACTGAATGTTGTGGAACCAAAACCCAGGTGAGGCGGCTTGGTCCGAGCTCCCACTGCCTGACCCCGCTTTCGCTTCAAGGCCCTCAACCATCCTGCATGCTTGGCGCTTTTTGGAGCTGGCAAGCCGAAAAAGTTCGGATCCAGAAACTCCAGCCTAACCGACCTCAGCATACTCTCCGCCCACACACTCAGACTTGTTCCCTTCCCGAGTCAATACCATCATGTCCGCTGCACAGCTTCTGAACCCGAAAGCCGAGTCGAGGGTACGCCAAGTCCATATTCGGGCTCGCCGGCTTGGATGCTAACTGTATGTGTTGACAGAGGCGGGGTGAAGCCCTGCGAGTCAACATCAGCGCCGGCGAAGGCCTCCAAGATGTCCTCAAATCGAACCTGGGTCCGTTGGGAACGGTTAAGATGTATGCTATTGGTGGTTTTGGTGAATGCTGCTCCTGGCTAACGGAGGACGCAGGCTCGTTGACGGTGCTGGCCAGGTGCGAAACAACGGGACATGGCCACAGACGGAGGCTTGCTGACGACTCGCGGCAGATCAAACTGACAAAGGATGGGAACGTACTACTCCGGGAAATGCAAATACAGAACCCGACTGCCGTCATGATCGCAAGGGCGGCCACGGCTCAGGACGATATCTGTGGCGATGGCACGACATCGGTCGTATTGCTGGTTGGTGAGCTGCTGAAGCAGGCGGATCGCTACATCCAGGAGGGCCTACACCCGCGTATCATCACGGATGGGTTTGAGATTGCAAAGAACGAGGCGCTCAAGGTTGGTTGACTTCCTAGGGAAGTGCGAGTGTCTACTGACTTTCGCAGTTCCTCGACCAGTTCAAGCTTCCCCGCGACGTCGACCGTGAACTCCTCCTTTCCGTCGCCAGGACTTCACTCGCTACGAAGCTGAGCGCGAGTCTCGCTCAGACCCTTACACCTTCCATTGTCGACGCGGTTCTGGCCATCTACCAAGCCCCGGCGAAGCCTGACCTGCACATGATCGAGATTATGAAGATGCAGCACCGAACTGCTTCAGACACACAGCTCATTCGTGGTCTTGCCCTCGACCACGGTGCGCGACACCCCGACATGCCCAAGCGCGTCGAGAACGCCTACATCCTGACATTGAACGTCAGTTTGGAGTATGAGAAATCCGAGATCAATTCCGGCTTCTTCTACTCCAGCGCCGAGCAGAGGGATAAACTGGTCGAGAGCGAGCGTCGCTTTGTCGACGCCAAGCTGAAGAAGATTGTCGAGCTGAAGAAACAAGTCTGCGGCAGCGACAACAAGAAGAACTTTGTCATCATCAACCAAAAAGGCATCGACCCCTTGTCTCTGGATGTTCTCGCCAAGAACGGAATCCTGGCGCTCAGGAGAGCCAAGAGGAGGAACATGGAGAGGCTGCAGCTTGTTTGCGGCGGTGTTGCGCAAAACAGCGTGGACGACCTGACCCCGGACATCCTCGGCTGGGCTGGTCTCGTCTACGAGCAGCAGCTCGGCGAGGAGAAGTACACATTTGTTGAGGATGTCAAGGAGCCCAAGTCGGTGACCCTCCTCATCAAGGGTCCCAACCAGCACACCATTACACAGGTCACGGACGCCGTCCGCGACGGGCTCCGTAGCGTTTACAACATGATTGTCGACAAGAGCGTGGTCCCCGGCGCGGGCGCCTTCCAGGTCGCCTGCGCTGCCCACCTGAAGAGCGATGCCTTTGCCAAGACGGTGAAGGGCAAGGCCAAGTGGGGTGTCGAGGCATTTGCGGATGCTCTCCTCGTCATTCCCAAGACGCTTGCGGCCAACGCCGGTCTTGATATTCAGGATGCCAGTAAGTTTAGTGCTCGCTGGCCGGTCCTCTCAATTTTAACGCTTATTTTCTAGTTGCTACGCTTCAATTCGAGCACCGCGATGGTAATGTGGTGGGACTTGACTTGGCAACAGGCGAGCCCATGGACCCCACGTTGGAGGGTGTATACGACTCCTTCCGGGTCCTGAGAAATTGCATTGCCTCTAGCACTGGTATCGCCTCCAACCTCCTTCTCTGCGACGAGTTGTTGAAAGCACGGCAGATGGGACGGCAAGGCGGGCCTGGTCCCGGCATGGATGGTCCGGAGGAGTAAACTGCATTCCGTCTATGTCTATAAGATACCTACTTTGACATACTGCATGGCAATAGACGTAATGTGGCTAGCCTCAGCTTCTCTTCTTCATTCCTTGCGGTGAGGTTGTGCTCTGGGTTCGCCCCTTATCGGTGGCCAAGATTGAATGGCGGGGCAACAGAATGAATTTACCCCGCCAAAATTTCGTCTCGCAAACTGCTGACCGGAACCTTCCAGTCTTTTGACCGGAGGGCAAACGCTGCTGTAGCTGACACCATGGCGCCGTATGATAGCGACTCTTCGGGTGCCGAGGACGAAGAGTTCACAGAAACCAATGTGCTACTTGGCTACGCCTCGGCCGATGCCAATGGGGAAGAAATCAGTCGACTGGGAGGTCGCCCAGTATGTGTCTCTGCGTCCTTCACTGAGTCTGCTGCAGCGCCAAATAGATGCTGATGGGAGCCCAGGACTGGTTAGACCCAAGCACTCCACCATCGGCTGCCCTTGCCAGATGTAAGGTCTGCAAGGACATGATGGTGCTGCTGCTGCAGCTCAACGCCGAGCTTCCAGATCGCTTCCCAAGCCACGAGCGGAGGTTGTACATTCTCACTTGCAAGAGCAAGAACTGCCGCAGGAAAGAGGGGAGCATACGTGCCATCCGGGGAGTACGGGTGTCAGCCGAGACTTCGACCACCACCGCGCCGAAAGACAGCCAAACCAAGGAGTCGGCTCCCCCGAATGTCGCATCTCAAGGCCTGGGCGAAGCTCTCTTTGGCGTCAAGCCCGCCACAGCTTCCGGAACTGCTCCTCGCGCCAACCCTTTCGCGACCTCATCCACACCCTCCACCAACCCCTTTGCCTCAAAACCTCCCTCCCCTGCAGCGAACCCCTTCGCCCAGCAGACCAACCCAGCAATGCCGGGCAAGACAGAGGCCCCAAATCTCGATCAGGCAACCAAAGACCTTCCCAAAACTTTCGCCGAAACCCTCTCCATCAACAACCCCCAACCCCCGCACGGCCCGCCCCCGCCTCCGGAGCCCTGGCCGGCAGAATCCGCCCAACCAACCCCCTACCCAATCCGCTGGCTCGCCGACGCAGAGTACGAGACCCTAGACCCCATCTCTCTGCCCCCGGTTACCCAACCCACGACAACGGCAATGGACATCGACTCGGGCGAAGGATCTGGCGGCGGGAAGGAAGACAAGGAGGTGTTTGAGTCGAGCATGGACGCGACGTTCCAAAAGTTTGCCGACCGCGTGGGCCAGAACCCGGAGCAGTGCATCCGGTACGAATTTGGAGGGCAGCCGCTGCTGTACTCCAGAAGTGATGCGGTGGGGAAGATGTTCCATGGCGGAGAGAAGGAGAAGGTTAGTGCTGCCAAGGGGATCCCGAGGTGTGGGAATTGTAGCGCCGGGAGGGTGTTTGAAGTGCAGTTGACGCCGCATGCTATTCAGGAGTTGGAGGCGGAAGAGGATGGGCTGGATGGGATGGACTGGGGGACCATTATTGTTGGGGTGTGCGAGAGGGACTGTCAGGAGAGGGGGGTAAAGACGGGAGAAGCGGGGTATTTGGAGGAGTGGGTTGGGGTGCAGTGGGAGGAGTTGACCATGAAGAGGTAGACAGGCAGAGAATTTATGAGATGGGACATCACTAGACAGATTGGGAGTCTATGAAGCGGAACATCATGTCATGTCGTCGTGTTAGCATCCGCACGTGCAACGAGGCTATCATCTAAACGTAGAAGCCATGGTATTCCAGACAGACACCCCTCTGCAGCCCACCCGCGGCATAAACTGCCGCCGTAACAACCCATAAACGCCAAAGCTGTTGCCGCCAGATGCTAGAAGAAATGGCCACTGCAGATGCGGCCGCTGCAGAGATGTGGCCCGATGTTTCCGTCGTCAAACCTTGAATACTTATTCCAGGACAAAGACAATGGGTTACGCGCTGTCCTCCCACGCCCTCTTAATGACGCGGCCGAACATATCAACCGAAACATCTTCCCTGATCTCGGCCTTCTTGGCTTCGTTATCCGGGTTCTTGGGGATCTGCACGAGGCCGTCCTCACCAACTCTCCAGCCGCACGTTTCTATAACGAACTTCTTGACCTCGTCCTCGCTGTCGAGCCCAAGCCAGCCCTCGAGCACACTCGTCTGCACCTCCCGGTACGCCTGGCTGACCAGGTGGGCGATGCGCAGCCGGATCATCTCCTCGAACCCGGCGATGTCCGTTGTCAGGTCTGCATAGATGTCGTCGCTGTCGAGCGTCACCCAGAAGCGAGCGTACTGCGCGCCCTCGAGCTGGGCGTTAAGCACGCGCAGTTTAGACACCGCCTCGGTGAGGTCGGACGTCGAGTTGGGGCCCGGGTTGGACTGCGAGGGAGAGAGGAGATGCAGGGAGAGGTCGAATTGCGGTGAGGGGAACTGTGTCATGGCTTTGACGAGGATGTTGGTGATTACCTCATCCTTGATTCGGTCGGGGTTGAGCTGGTAGCTTGAGAGGAGGCGGGTTAGCGGCTCGCCGTGGAGGGGATGTGACAGGAAGTACAGCAAGAGGTTCCTCATATCAGGAATACGAGATTTGACCTCATTGACGGCGGGTCAACCCCGCGCGTAGTCAGGTTAATAGGAAACGTTGACGATTGTTCATCATGAAGGAGGGGATACATGTTGAAAGCGATAATGAAATGGCGACTCACAGCTTCAGCAGCGCCCGGTTGGCGTTGCAATCGCAGAACTTCTCCTCACATTGTTGTTGGAGGTAGGCCTCGAGGACGTCAGCTGCCTGCGGGTTATACCGCTCAAGTCCGTTGATTATGTTGCGGATCTGCTCTGGCCGCTCTTGGGGGTCTTCGCCGTTCATGTTGGGCAAATCTGTGTCTGGGTCCGCGGGGTTGCAAGAGGAAAGAAGTTCCCCGGGGTTTTCGCTCGAACCCATCAAACACAAAACCCGAGATGTGATGGGGCTAAGATTTCCGCCGGTTTTTGTGTGCTGCCGGAAACGGTTAGCGTTCAAAGCTAAAAGTGGGCCTATCGTCTCGATTCCAGGTCATGTGTTTGCGCGAGGTTCTCGTGCTGCGGAACACGCCAAGAAGTTCAACAACGTCATCGCCAGGACTCCATCGTAAGGGTCAGTGAACGAGTCCACACCCCAAATGCCGGGGAGTTACCCATTCCCACTGTTATAATCCCATGAATTTGGATTGTACCTCCCGCCTAAACCGTTTAATGGCGATTATCTAAGCCAACGAACTTTCGAGGTGACTAGGGATACCCAAATTCTGATCGCTTCCCGCTCACGGTCACCTTAAGATGTCGAGCCCAGCAAAGAAGCGGAAACTGAACTCTGATACAAAGAAAAAGCCCGCCTCTGCCAGAGGACTAGAGTACTTCTTTGCGAAGCAAAGAGATAATGGCTTTTCCCAAAACACTCCGACAGCTCAAGACGGCACAGCACAGGCAGATCGGTTAGAGCAGCCGTTGACAGACGAGGAGCTTGCGAGGAAGCTCCAAGCTGAGTGGGACGCCGAAGCCAGGGGCTCCGGTCACAGTACCCCAAGCGCGGACCCCAACCGAACTGATGCCAACCCTGCGTCCTCGTTACCACGCCAGTTGTTTGCTGTGGACACACGTTCCGAGTTGCCATCGTCAGAAGTCTCTGCCCAGTCCACGGCAACAAAGTCCAAGAACACCCTAACACTGTCTTCAGATGCGGCGACAGAGGACCAGATGTCAGCATCTATTCCCTTGGATGAAAGCCCACTCACGTTCACTCCGGCCAAGTACATCCCACAACTCCAAGCGTGCTGGGCTGCAGACGGCGGCGATGCTTCTTACGCTCTGCTCACACAATGCTTTGTCTTGGTCAATAGCACCCCGAGTCGCATCAAGATTGTTGACACACTTGTCAACTGCATTCGGCTGTTGGTGGAGGGAGATCCCTCGAGTCTGCTGCCCGCAGTGTGGTTAGCCACGAACGCCATATCGCCCCCGTACATCTCCATGGAGCTCGGTCTTGGAGGGTCTGCCATCTCCAAGGCGCTCAAGCAGGCTTGTGGACTGGACAACCGAGCTCTCAAGGCCCTTTACGACAGGGTTGGCGATCCCGGTGACGTGGCGTTTGAAGCCAAGAAGAAGCAGAGCTTTACCCTGCGCAAGCCGAAGCCCCTAACCATCAAGGGTGTCTTCCAATCGCTCGTCAAGATTGCAAAAGCTCAAGGACAAGGCAGCGGTGACGTGAAGCAGCGGATTGTGGACAGGCTTCTGCAGGATGCTCGCGGAGGCGAGGAGAGTCGCTACATTGTCAGGACCCTGTGCCAGCATGTAAGTCTCACCTGTGCCCTTCCTTACCAGCATTGACGCTAACAAGATTAGCTACGGATTGGCGCTGTCAAGACGACCATGTTGATCGCTTTGTCTCGGGCGTTCTTACTGTCAAAGCCTCCTGGCGCGGAATTTCCGACACGAGACCCACAAGATTTGGCCAAACTGAAGAAGGAGGAGCTTGCAGGGGTCTGGGCGAAGGCAGAAGAGCTCGTCAAAGCCTCCTACGCCCGCCATCCCGACTATAACGACCTGATTCCAGTGTTGCTCGGAATCGGCGTCTCCGAAGAGCTCCTCGTCCGGTGCGGTTTGACTCTGCATATACCCTTGCGACCCATGCTGGGAAGCATCACCCGAGACCTGTCGGATATGCTCACCAAACTGCAAGGCCGCGACTTTGCTTGCGAGTTCAAGTACGATGGACAGCGAGCGCAGGTTCATTGCGACTCCAAGGGAAAAGTCTCGATTTTCTCGAGGCATTTGGAACTCATGACAGACAAGTACCCCGATCTTGTGGCCCTTGTCCCGAAGATTAGGGGTGAAGGGGTCGAGAGTTTCATCATGGAAGGCGAGGTGGTGGCCGTGGACCATGCCACTGGGAAACTGAAGAGTTTCCAGACGCTAACGAACCGGGCGCGGAAGGATGTTGTCATTGGGAGTATTACCATCGACGTCTGCCTATTTGCATTTGACCTCATGTATCTCAATGGCCAGTCTCTTCTCGACCAACCTTTCAGGCGGCGGCGGGACCTGTTGCGATCGTTGTTTGTGGAGATTCCCCACCATTTCACCTGGGTGAAGAGCCTCGATGCCACTTCTCAAGATTCGGAACCGGTCCTCGAATTCTTCAAGTCGGCCATCGACAGCAAGTGCGAGGGGATCATGGTCAAAACGCTCGATAACCTCCCTGACCTCGAGTACCGCGGCGACGAGCCCCAGCAGGAGGACGATGGATCATCAAATAAACCGCCTGCCCGTATCAAGAAGAACTGCAAAGCAACCCAGCCCCATTCCACCGCCACACCCCCTATCAACCCTCCCAGATCCCGCCGCAAACCCCTCCTGGCAACCTATGAACCCGACAAGCGGCTCGACTCGTGGCTCAAAGTCAAAAAGGACTATTCCTCCTCCTTCGACACGCTCGACCTGATCCCGGTCGCTGGCTGGCACGGCCAAGGCCGCAAAGCCAAGTGGTGGTCGCCCATCCTGCTGGCCGTGCGCAACGACGAGACGGGCTGCCTCGAAGCCGTGTGCAAGTGCATGTCCGGGTTCACGGACGCCTTCTACAAGGCGAACAAGGAGTTTTACGACAATGGCGATGAGAGCGGCGAGCGGAGGAACACGCATGCTCAGAAGCCTGGGTTCATCGAGTATTCTGGCGGGGTGCCTGATGTGTGGTTTGAGCCGTGCGAGGTGTGGGAGGTGGCGTTTGCGGATATTACGGTTAGTCCGACCTACACGGCGGCTATTGGGCTGGTCAAGGAGGACAAGGGCCTGAGCTTGCGGTTTCCGAGATTCTTGAAGAAGAGGGAGGATAAGGGGGTGGAGGAGGCGAGCACGAGTGAGTTTCTGGCTGGACTCTTCAGGAAGCAGGAGGCGAAAGCGTCGGCGGCGGGTGAGAGCAGGGTAGAGAGACAGGGGGACGGAGAAGAGGAGTGCATGGAGGACTGATGGATAAACTGATCGCTGGTTGTCATTTCTGTCTGCTGCGCCATCTACTCCTTCCACGCCCGATACACAATGCGGCAGCCGTACTTCTCGCCCCTCTTGAGCAGCATTTGGCTCTTCCACTCGGGCACGTTGCACGCGTTGACCCACCGGCTGGGCTCGACGCAGAAGCCGCTGCGGGCCTTGCGAGCGGGAACGCCGGCGACCTCGGGAACGTCGATGTACTTGCCGGTATAGAACTGGAACGCGGGCTCGGTGCTGAGCACCTCGAGGTGGATGTTGGATTCAGGGTGGTAGGCGCTGACGTGCTTGCTCAGGGCCTGCGAACGGGTGTCGATGGGGACTTTGTCGGGCGCCTCGTTGACGATGAAGCAGTCGTCGATGTCCGGCTCCTGCGCTCCGAGGGTGAAGGCCTTGTTGGCCTCCACCTTGCTGAACGGCTTGGGGCCGCTGGTCGGGATGCCACCGTCATCGAGCGGGAGGTGGCTGTTCGTGGCGAGGGTGACGACGGTGCCCTCGATTGTGGGGCCACCAGTGAGGTTGAAGTAGCTGGTCAAGCGTCAGCAATCTAATTCCCTCCTGCACTCACAACCTGCAGATAACTCACGAGTGGTTTGTCATGTTGATGACCGTCTCATCGGCCCCACCAATCAGCTCCGCCTCGTACTCCATGGCCAGCACAATCACCTCCTTCCCGTCCTGCACCTGCTTGCCGACGGTGTAAACCACGCTAACCTCAACTGTCCCCGGGAACCCCTCGTCGCCGTCCTGGCTAACCAGGGTGAATTTGACGCTCTCGCCGCCTTCGAGGCCCTCGATGCCGGGAATCTTCCGCACTCCGACGGGAGTGCCGCCGTTCCAGATCTTCTTGCCCCATCCAACATTGCCGCCGTGCAAGTTGTTGGGCCCGTTGTTGGCGGCAAGGGTGTATGTCTGGCCGCCATTGAGGCCGTCGAGCTTGGCGCCCTTGATGCGGTTGGCAACCCGGCCGATGGTCTCGCCGAAATACGGGCCGTTGTATCTCTCGTAGTGAGATTGCTCCGGGAAGCCCTGCACGATGTTGATACCGCCAACGCGGAGCTCTTGGATGATGGCGCCAAGAGGCAGGAATGTGACGGGTGCGTCAGCCATATTGTGTGATGTGGTTGGTTGATGAGCTGGAGGGAGTAATGAGCGAGGGGCAGGGTGATGTCAGAGAGCTTGGGGAAGTTGGAGAAGGAGGGGTGAGAAGTCGATGTTGTCCGACCAGCAGAAAGTTTCGGATCTTTAAGGCCCGAGCGTCCGAAGAGACATTGACATTTCCCAGACATTGTCACACAACCATCTCGCATGCGGACAGGTGGGACGAAGTCTTTTCGTTCCACACATGACCGACAGGCTGTGATTCAGGCTGTTCGGGTCGAAGGTGGCTTCCCCTCTTTGGTGGGCTTAGGTGGAGTGATGATGCTTGGCGCGGGGTTTCCCAAATCAAGCAGAGGCAGCTGCTGTGCTTCCCGAACGCCAGGTCAACCACCACTTTTTTTTTCCTTTTGTTTTGTGTTTGGCTGTCACACACCAAAACTTTAGAGCAGGGCAGATGGATTAGGATGGCTAGTATAGTTATTGAACTGGTTGAAGCTGTAAATATAGTTGCAAAATACATTTTCTATTGTCTTAAGTATCAGTTGAAGATCTAGTCAGCTTACTTAATATATTCTTATAGTTATAACTTATGGTTAGTTATCGTACTTCATGATTAACGTTAAGTTAAGCGGAATGTTCTAGTTATTAAGCGGGACTGTTTTTTAAACTATACTAGTTACTGCAAACTGTCAAAAGTCTACTAGAATTTGTTGATTGAAACTATTTGGAATCGCTTGAGCTATCTATTTCTCCATCTTCCAAGCATATCCGTACTGTGAGGGACGAGTAGCATCGAGATGAGGCACGAAGGCACTGCAATTGCTGACTCAATTCTACTAATCACGAGATAGGGAGAAAAGGAAGCTGGAAGAGCTCTCGCGATGCAGAGGTCAAATGCCAGCGCAGGTGGGGCACGCGCGAGGAAGGCAAGCGCGTACCTCGACGGCAGGTGCCGTCACACGTACACTGTAGTGTCAGGGGTAGTGATAGTGTGAGGTTCATGGGCGCAACTCCTGGTTCGACTGGACAGTTCGAATCACGGTCCCTCTTTTGAGGGTGTTACGCAGTGGTCAGTTGTGCCCACCCGTGACATGTAGCTAGTCTAGCAGCAGATGCTATTAGAGCTATAGATTTGTCCGATATACCTTTGATAGCCTTTCATGTTCCTCCTCGACGCGCTCTTCCTCTTCCACTATACCCTTCTCTCCCACTTTTCCCTAGCCTAGCTTCTATTAATAGCCCTGCTATCCTGAAGATACGTCCGTTTGGCTCTATAGCGCTTAAAGAATCTTCGTTAGCCACCTAAAATGTCCGTACCTGAGTTCCCAAAAGGGTAACCCGATGGGAAACCGCTTGTATTCCCTTTGAAGCTAGTTAACAGCGCCTGAAATTGGAGTTAGAGAGTTTCTTTAAGTGTCTTGTAATCTGATCCTTGATAAGAGTAGACTGTGAAAGGGACTTGCTAGTAGTTTGGGGTGTCTTAGAGACCTATGTGTTCGTAATTCATTAGGAGACTCGGGAGGTACTGGTGTCTATAATGGAAAGCGCACCCTGGACTTATGTTTTATTTAGTGAGTTATTGGTAGGTGGCCTGCGGGCCTACTTATTCTTTCTCGCATTATACACGCGCATCTTATATACTCTCCCTCTTCTTTTCCTTAGCTCTCAATTAGCAGAATAAAGTCGCCGTTTGCAGTGCCCCAGTGCCTCGCCTTGATGCCACTTGTCTCTTATAGTATTCGTAATCTAATATCTAGCTTCGAAAGCATAACCTGCTGGCCATGGGGATAAGTCTAGACCCTTAAAAGCTTCTAAGAGCATATCCTTGTCTAAATTCATCACGCCTGGCCATCAAAACGGCCAGAGAACCTCGGGTGGCAGACCGTCTTAGCCGCAATACCGGCTCTCGTGGTGTCGATATGCTTCACTGTCGCCGCACTCTTCACGTAAAGGCTGGCCAACAAGGCTTATGGTTCTGCTATCGCGAGAGCGAAACCTCAAAATTGCGGGTTCTCGAGGTACAACACTTCCATCGCTGCCCACGAGCTTGCCAGCCTCTACTCGGCCAAGAATCGCAATGACGCGGCTCGCGCACGCAACTACGTCACTAGCTTTTATACCAACGCATCAACCTCGTCGGTACTTTTAGCATTCGTCCAGGAGACACTTCACTACGCAGATGAACATGTCGGCTCCCTGTCCTATCCCAGCCGCCGAGCGCTGCATCCTGGCTCGCACAAGGCACTCTCCGTCACATCTGGTTACCTGAATTCGCACCAAATGCTCGGGATCAACGCGAGTTTGAGAAAAGGTTCAGCCTCCAGATCCAAACGACTTACTCGCTGTTGGCAGTGGGAGACCTCCCCAAGAGATCACCAACTCACAAGGCACCTTTATCGAGTACTCGCTAGAAGCTCTCCACGAACCTGTATGCACTGGGAACGTAACCCTCCGTTACAACGTAGCTATGACAAACGATAGTTACTGGCATAGGTTACACCTTTAAAGTACGCATTCTTCCAACCTTTGGGTCCTTGGCCCATCATTAGCCAATGTCAGGTACCGTATTAACCATTGCTCCAGATCCTTCCACGCCCTCGCAACCGGCGCGATCAATTCCAACCTCTCCTCCTGGAATTCCATCCCGGACTTCACGCGAGCCGACGCGGATGTCACCATCCTCCTGCTTAACCAGAGTGACACGCGATACACCTCGCCCGTTTACGACCCGTGGTTCTCTGCCAACGTCACCTACAACTTCACCTACCAAAGTAACTTGATAATTGTAGCCGATAGGTACCTCTCCGCACTCCTTTGCGCGGGCCAGTACCGATTGCGCAACCCGTCCGCCAACATCTGCACCCGCCTAGGCGGTATCTTCCACATTTCCGAGCTTTGCTCAACTCTGCCGCTCTGATCGCTTTGCGGTTCAACACAGTCCAGTTTGCCACCACGGATCGCCTCCTAGTCGGCTTAGGCGAAGTCAACACGTGGGGCGCCGTGTCGGGACTCGGCGGAGCCGAAGCGCTGCGGGCCCCAACACCTGGCCGACGGGAATGTCTCTCCGGTCTGCCGAACGATCAGTGGCGGGCCGGGGTGGAAGGCTGGTTTCAGACGAGCTTAGCCAGGCTTCAGGCGGCGGTGGTGGAGTTTGCTGTCAAGGACCGCGATGTTCCTGCGTCCGAAGAGGCTGGTGATGGTGGTGAGAGATCGGGACAAGGTCAATGGAGCCTGGGGGCGTTTTCCGGCTTCGCCCGAACAACAGGAGCAGTGCGAGAACCAGCTTGTGAGGGCCGTCGGACAGGTGTAGAACTTTAGCCTGGTTGGCGTCTTGGTGGTGGTTTGTGGTTGTGTGGCTTTAGTGCTGGTGGACTTGCCCCTTAAGCGGCTTGTCGACCTGGTCGAGGCGAAGATTGGATGACGACTGGCTCCATCGGTTACGGATGCGAGGCAGACGGATGGGAAACTGCATCTTCTACGTCTGGCATATTGGTGGCGGCCGCTGGGAAGGAGAAAGACTGGAGTTTGGGGAGCTAGGGCGTTCCGATTACAGGCAACCGCGAGGTCATTGGGCGGTTTAATACCTGTGTGCATCACGACCAGAGCCGGCTCGTCTCATACGTGGGTCTACCTAGGAGGCAGCAGAGGATGGGCGATGGACACGCAATGACGGGAGGCTTATTTGAAAATTCAGTAAAAGGCAACACCTTCGGAAGATGCGAACACGGAGCAAAAAAATGATGGGTTTTGAACAGCAGACAAGCGTCAGGAGACAATAGTTATCGTGAATTGGGTGCCTGAGAATTCGCAGTGTTCACTGAAGACATGCAAGTAAGTCACACGAGCATTCGTGGGGTGGAACCTAGTGAAACTAGTAGGTAATCATTGTACAAATACAAAGGTATGGAAGCAAAGCTGTTAAGTCGGCCAGCCATTTCAGTTACCCACCAGCTCGACGTTTGATTAAGGTACACAAAGATACTAGTATTGGCTTAGTCATTGATAACAGGGCACCGCTCAAACAGTGGTAGTGTTTGAATACGGAGAGCCGGTGTTGGCAGTGGCAAGGTGGAAGGAGTGGACGGCTGCTCTGAAGTGGGTATCGACTTGGGCCCTCTGGTTGGCGGTCTGCGAGCTGTAGGAGGTGTTGGTCGGGAAGACGGCCATGACCTGCATCAGCAAGGCGTCGATCACGCCGGCCATCTCGCGGACGGCGGCGGGAACACGAAATTCGGCTTGCTTGTCGAGAACGATCAGGACCGGTGCGGATTCGCTGACGGCGTCCATTAATTCGAAAATTCCTTGGACGAGCTGCGCTTGTCAGCAAACGATAACGATCAACGGGCAATGCCTGCGGCGCTGGTCTGGTTTGGGACCACTTACGTTGGAATAGCCCTCGTAGATCAACTGCTGATCGTGGTATTCGGTGACAACCGACGATCGAATCATGACCGAGATGTTGGACAGGCACGAATCGGAGATGTCGCTGAACTCATCAAGGATATCCTGACATAATATAGTTAGGAGTGCGATGCAGATGCTTCTGTGGAGTGTGGAAACCACCAACCTGGAAGGGCCCAGGGTTTTTCTTCGCCACGACCACATTGACGAGATCCTTCAGGTCGACTAAAACAACAACGTCAGTCGTACATTCTTGTTGTGGGTGCTTCGAAAGAGGGTTCGGTAGGGCAAACGTGGGGATGAGCACCCCATGGGGACAGATCATGGGCACCCGGTGCCCAGGGGGGTCCAGTGAGGCCAAGATAAGGAACGGGGCTGGGGTTTTTCTTTTGACCTACACGCCATGCGGGCCAGACTGTGGCAGGCGACAGTGATCTCGGGCGGAGACATGGCGGCGCCCGCCAGAGACACAAAAACACCGACCACCAAGGCGAGAACTCCCTGGGCGAGGCTGCCCTGCTTGCCAAACGAGAGCCACATGATTATTGGGTAAAGAACGTGATTACAAGCAAAAAAAGAGTGGACGAGAGCGGTTAATCACTCTCAGTTAGGAAATGAGCGACAGGAAACGATGCCGGGTGTGCTGTCAATTCGACGTGTGTGTTTGAGAGAGCATCGTAAATCGTGAGAGATGGAAGAGAGGAGAGAGCCGGTCAATCCGCTCTGGAACCGCAAGCAGAGCACATTTTCGGCTTGGTTCAACCCGTCTCCGCTTTCGGTGCCGACATGGACACTTCAACACCTTGGCGTCTATAGTAAACACTGTCCCGAACGTGATGTCCAGGGGCCAGGAAACCCGGGAAGGAGGCTATGCCATTTTGCATGCAGGTCCCAGGGGCAGGTGGTTTTCTTCCCACCAAGGCAGATTCTTTTATGTACTGTGTAACCCACAAAAGAGCCGCCTTCGCGACGGGATGACCTCGTGGGGGTCCAGTTCAACGCTGCTTCGGAGATAATCAGTCCGGTGTGCGGTTATCACAGAGATCGCATCCGCCGTGGCGGCTTGCTGAGCTACGATTGGCCTCATCCCGAAGTGGCTACCTTTGCGGCGCTCTTGGACACCGCGCTTTTCCCGAGTAGGCAACGTGGTATCCATCAAAACCTTTTGCGCGGCTGACGCTTGGCGTCGATCCCAACCATGGCAGCAAGGTTTTGCTCAGCCCTAGAAGTTTCCCCATCCGGCGACGTGAAACCTTCAACCACGCTTGAGGCTGACGAAGCGCGGCAATTGCCGATTCACAGACAGAGTCCATGGAAACCTCAAGTCACTGTACATTTTGTCATTTCGAATTTTCTCTCCAATCACCGACAATATGGGGCGGCTGAACATCCACGAACCGACGGCTGATTGAATTCTCCTTTGCTCGCTTCCATCTCACAGACAGTTGAGCAGAAAACTGGGTACCTATGGGCTGTCAAAGGAACTGGAAAGTCTGGACTCGCTCGTATCTGGGTGCCAGATACATGATTCCAGGTAAGGTTCCCGGTTTTTAGGCATCAACGCGGCCCAGCCAGGGACAGCTGGCGATTCCACCTACCAAAGTCACGACATAAGCACGAGAATCGACGACAGGTATCGGCAGGGTGCCCCTGCATCGAAGGATTCGTTATCGGGGATGCCAGCCACTAACCCTATCAACACTGACAGGGTTCTCTCTTACAGCCTGAGATGCATGCTCGGCGGGAGAATCGGCCGATAACGTAACGAACGCTAGTGTTCCATGGTGTGGTTTTTGCACAACGCTCAGGGCGGTTGAGAATCCATTGGATGTCTGCATTTTCCAGTTTTGAGGATAGAGAAGAATTTCGATACCCTCTTCAAATCATTGCTCTCTGATGCAAGCATTGAGACTGTCACAGGAACATGAAAGCCATCATGGGCCACAGCACCTAACTCACCTTCCAGGTGCTGTCCGTTCAGCCTGCTCGCTGGCTCCATCTTTGACGTCTCAAAGCCGCAGACAGCACGACATGAACTTCGAGTTCCTCAAAGAACCCATGGAACTGGGCTGAGCACTCGGTCCAGGGAATCAAGGTGCCCTGGACACTTCTCTCCCAGCCGCATCTTATCACCCCCCTTGGACGGCATCCAGTGCGGCTCTTGTGGTCCACCCTCCCCCCTGCCCCCAAGACTATGGCAGCAACATGACTGCAGATGTGGGTCGTCACTCATCAGGCTCTGTCACTCGGGCAGCTCGCCATCAGCGGGTTGACATGAGCCCGAACTCGCAGCCTGCCTTCAAGGTTCTGCGTGGCGGAGTTCTCCGTATTGAACATCACAAACCGGGGGTGAGCGCAAGGAGCCCGGGCTGCGCGCCTGCCGCATAGTGTGCTGGATTGGGGCTGAAGTTTTCCTGACTGATGAGCCTGATGCTTCTGGGGACGTGGTAGAAGTTGGCCGTCCGCGCGTTCTCACTTTTTTCCTCCTGCATCCAACATACCCATGATTTTGTGAGGGCAGTTGGGCACGTTCAACCCTTTCCTTCACCATCTGGCCGTTGGCTTACATTCTTTTCTTGTTGCCGCCATGGCGCCCTCGCTACAGTCCTTCGTTCTTGTGTCTCTTTTTGCGGCTCATATATACTGCCTGCCATACTTGCCCGAGTATGAAGCATACAACCTCAACCAGAACAAGGCGGCAACCAATCCGCTCGAGTACTGGGGAGAATGGCCGGATCATACATTCCATCCTTCGCCGGAGAACTGGCGCATGCCATTCTACTCTCTGTTCCTTGACCGGTTCGTCAATGGCGACCCACTCAACGACAATGCCAATAAGACGGTCTTCGAGGTCGACATGCTTTCGACCCAGCTACGGGCCGGCGGCGACATCAGCGGCCTGATCGATACACTCGACTATCTTCAGAGCATGGGCATTAAGGGGCTCTACATTGCCGGCAGTCCATTCATCAACCAGCCGTGGGCGGCAGATTCTTTCAGTCCCCTGGACATGACCCTACTCGACAGTCACTTCGGTACCATCAACGAATGGCGGCATGCCATCGACGAAATCCACAAGCGAGGCATGTACGTAGTCTTGGAGAATACCATGTCTACAATGGGGGACCTTATCGGGTTTGAGGGGTACCTCAATGAAACAACGCCCTGGAGCTTCACCGAGCACAACGCCATCTGGAAAACTTCGAGACGGTATTGGGACTTCCACCTCGGAGATGACTCCGTCCCCTGCGAGTACCCACGCTTCTACGACGAACACGGCGATCTCATCGGAGAGGAGGTCATGTCCAACTTCAAGACCTGCCGGACGAGTGATTTTGATCAGGTGAGCGAGCCGTTTCTGCCCACTGTCCAGTACCCTCACACAACACCCATTGGGAGAGAGACGAAAGATTGCGCTCCTTGGCCTGCAGATATATGGCTAACCAATGGTTTGCAGTACGGAGATGTCGAGTCCTTCGGCAAATATCCGGAGTATCAGAAGCAGCTCTCCAAGTTCGGCTTTGTTCAGGACCGCCTGAGAGAATGGCGTCCGAGTGTGCTAGACAAGATCAAGCTCTTCTCTTGCATGACAATTGCCAGCCTCGACATTGACGGTTTCCGAATTGACAAAGCCCTCACCATCACCGTTGATGCGCAGGCTGAATGGTCCGACCACATGCGGGCCTGCGCCCGCCGGTTCAACAAGACCAACTTCTTCATTCCTGGCGAGATTGTTGGGGGCAACGCTCTCGGCGCGCTCTATTACGGGCGAGGAAAGCAGCCTGACATGTCATTTGAAACATTGGAGGAGAGCTACAACTCGACCAATGAAACCAGTACATCCCCCTACATCCGAACCAAACAAGCATTGGACTCGGCTTGTTTCCATTATTCGGCGTACCGAGCCTTGACGCGCTTCCTCGGCATTGACGGCGTCTACGGGGCCGAAATGGACACTCGCACAAATTGGGCCGAGGGTTGGCAAGATACCCTCCGCACAAACGACTTGGTCAACGCCAACACAGGGAAATTCGATCCGAGGCACATGTACGGAACAGCCAACCAAGATGTTTTCCGCTGGCCGTAAGTAACCTTCATGTGTTGACTGTTTATACCCCTTTGTGGCGTCCGCAAGGGGCGAGATGGGTCTCGAAACCCGTGTTCACGATCCAAACCCCCCCGACATACGGAGAGGAAATTCCCCAGCTGACTTTGTTGATTCTTAGTTCCATCGTTAACGGAACGCAAAAGTACCTGGTTGGCGCATTCATCACGTCCCTCTTACTTCCAGGCATCCCCATTGTCAACTGGGGCGAGGAGCAAGCCTTCTACGTCTTGGAGAACATCGCAGCCAACTATCTCTATGGCCGCCAGCCCATGACGTCGACAGTAGCCTGGGAAGCCCACGGCTGCTACAAGATTGGCGCCGAGAAGTATTTCAACTTCCCTCTCGAATCAGCACTCTACGGTTGCGAAGACCCCAACGTCAGTCTGGACCACCGAGACCCGTCTCACCCTGTCAAGGGCGTTGTCAAGAGACTGATGGAGCTCCGCGAAACATACCCCGCTCTCAACGACGGCTTCGACATGTTCCAGCTCTCCAACCACACACATTGGATATATTTGCCTGGCTCTAACGGGACCGGAACTGAGCTTGGGTTGTGGAGCTACGTGCGGAAGGGTCACGAGGGTCTTCAAGACTTCTCACAGCTAAAAAATGGCGACGACATCGTGTGGCTTCTTCTTGGCAACGAGAATCAGACCACCAAGTACAAGTTTAACTGCTCGGATCCGGACACCGCCTTGTTGTCGTCGTTTGGACCGGGAGCCACGGTGAAGAACCTGTTCTACCCCTACGATGAGTACGAGCTCGAGCCATCCAACCGCCATATCGAAGGCGACGAGCCGGACCTGGTCCACGGCTGCATCAGCGAGCTAGAGTTTCCCGCCTGGGGCTTCAAGGCGTTCGTCCCGAAAAATTCCTGGGTTGGCCCAGCTCCGATCATCACCAAGTTCTTGCCCGGCCACGACTACCGTCTTGAATCGACTGCGAATGCCGAGACATCGGTGGACATCCAGATTCAGTTTTCCCAGGAGATGGACTGCGAGTCGGTCTTTAACTCCATCGAGATTACGTCAAATACTGTGGGAGGGCGGACAGCCTCCCTCAACAGAGCATCCCTCAGTTGTCGAAATCTGGAGGTCGCTCCCCCTCAACTTGTTGGACAAGTTCCTTCGGTCTGGGAGTTCAAAGCGACGATCAATTCCATCCCTGATGGCATCCATCGCATCACTGTCCGGAACGCGACGGACAAGACGGGCACGAGCAGGACAGGCACCGTGGATCATTTACTTCTCCGTGTGGGCAAATTAGACAATCCCGTCGTGTTTCCGCGGCACGCCAACTACTCGACAAACCTTGTGTACGCGAAAGACGATGGCATCTACGTGCGCCATCATGCCACCGGCGCAACCAAATTTCGCTGCTCGCAGACCTGGGCGTCGTCATGGACACCGTGGTTGGACTATACCGGCGAGGACTTTAAATTACCGCCCATGAACTGGACGGGAACAAGAAAACAGGAATGGTTGGGAACCCACGTTATTTGTCAATACTTCAGCAAGCTCGCCGGTAGCAGCCATCACCAACAGGAGGGTGACTTGGACGCGTTTGCCTTGCCGCGCAGGTTTCCACACCTGTTTGTGAACGGCCATTTCAACGCATTCGGATTTGACACCGGGATTCCCAATGAGATGAAACAGCGAGAGAGAACCGGAGCGTGGTCGATTGATCTCATGGCAGAGTGGCCGACCGCTCTACAATTCAATGTTTGGGGGGTCAATCCGTAAGCAACAATCTCCTTTGCGTGTGCATCTCTATACCCTTTTATCGCTGTCTTGGAAGCCATCCTGCTTCAGAGACTGCGCACTTGCTTCCGGCACCTTCCCGACACTTTCAGATGAGAGACTTCATAGCTAACAATGTCGGTAGGGACGGCTTGCCCGATATGACCTGGATCTTCGGCGACGTCAACTTTGACTATGTTCTCGACCGTCTCGCCCCGGGATCACTGCGGCAAAACGTGGTCAACATTACAGAGTCCCCTCCGTCGCCGTTTGTCGGTTGGCGTTTCGAGGTGGACGATGGGGCGATGAAATACACCAAAGTCCCAGCGGGGAGCAGAGATCGTCAGATCGCCATTTTCACGCTGATGTGGGTGTTGCCGCTCCTCGCCGGCTGGGTCGTGGTATTCATCTTTACCGGGTCCTTCTACAAAGTCAAGCATAACGTCTCCGGCGCAGCCAAGAACGGCAGTCTTTCAGAGAAGTTACGCCAGGTATTCGAGATGAAGGAGAAGCTACATCTCCGGCCAAGCCGCCCGTCTTCTGGGTCCTCCTCATTTGTTGGCACACCGGCCGTGACTCGTCCGGGCACTCCAAATGTTACACCTCGAGGGGCGGATGGCGCCGGCCTGGGCATGGAGCTTGGTGCGCCCAGGAAGAAGGTGGTCATCGCGACAATGGAGTACGACATTGAGGACTGGGCTATCAAGATCAAAATCGGCGGCCTCGGTGTGATGGCACAGTTGATGGGCAAAGCTCTCGGTCATCTCGACCTCATCTGGGTCGTCCCTTGCGTGGGCGGGCTGAACAACAACTACCCTGACGGCTATCCGGTCGACCAACCGGCTGAGCCAATGGAAATCACCATCCTCGGCTCCAAGTACACCGTCGACGTTCAGTACCACAAGCTCCGCAACATGACGTATGTTTTGCTCGACGCTCCTGTCTTCAGACAGCAGACCCCGTCGAAGCCGTACCCTGATCGCATGGACGACCTGGACAGCGCCATTTACTACTCCGCCTGGAATCAGTGCATTGCCGAGACGATCAAACGCTTCAACCCGGACATCTACCACATCAACGACTTCCACGGGGCCCTCGCGCCTTTGTACCTCCTTCCCCGCGTCATCCCATGCTGCTTGTCGCTCCACAACGCCGAGTTCCAAGGCATGTGGAGCCTCGGCACCAAGGAGGAGAAGCAGGAGGTGTGCAGCGTGTTCAATCTTGAACCAAAGGTTGTGGAGCGGTTCGTTCAGTTTGGCGAGGTGTTCAACCTACTTCACGCCGGCGCCAGCTATCTGAGGGAATTCCAACACGGCTTCGGCGCCGTTGGTGTCTCAAAAAAGTATGGCAAGCGGAGCTTTGCTCGCTACCCAATCTTCTGGGGCCTGAGCAACATCGGGTCTCTGCCGAATCCAGATCCTTCGGACACGGCTGAATGGTCGCCTGAGCTAGAAGCAGCAGCTCAAGCGGCGGAGGTCCATGTGGACGCCGCCTACGAGGCCAGCAGGGGCGAGCTGCGCCTACAAGCGCAGGAATGGGCTGGCCTTGAGAAGGATGCGGATGCCGAGCTCTTTGTTTTCGTGGGCCGTTGGTCCATGCAAAAGGGAGTCGATATTATCGCTGACGTCTTCCCGGCTATCCTGGAAAGCAACCCCAAGGTTCAGTTGATTGCTGTGGGACCTGTCATTGACCTGTATGGCAAGCTGGCGGCTATCAAGTTGGACAGGTTGATGGAGAAATACCCCAACCGGGTCTACTCGAAGCCAGAGTTTACGCAGCTTCCGCCATATATCTTCAGCGGTGCCGAGTTTGCCCTGATTCCCTCGCGTGACGAGCCGTTTGGGTTGGTAGCTGTCGAATTTGGCCGCAAAGGAGCACTTGGAGTCGGCGCCAGAGTCGGTAAGTTGGCTTGTTTTCCTCGCCTTTTTAAAAGTTATCCAGTGCTGACATCTTTTTAATTTAGGCGGCTTGGGTGCCATGCCGGGGTGGTACTACACGGTGGAGTCTACGTCGGCAAAGCATCTCATCAGTCAATTCAAGGAAGCCATCCAGGGAGCTCTGGAGAGTGACAAGGAGACACGAGCAAAGATGAGAGCAGTCTCGGCGAAGCAAAGGTTCCCGGTCGCCCGATGGGTCGAAGAGATCAACGAGCTGCACAAGAGGTCGATCGACAAGTCACGAAAGCACAGGGACAAGCCGGACCCCCTGAAGGTGATGAGCCTGACGAAGTTCTCCCCGAGCCGGTCACCGTCCCCAACGCCCTCCGAACTTCATGACGTGCAACCGATGACACCTGCCTCCTTTTTGAGTCCCGACCAAGCCAATCTTCCATCCTCGGCGAGAAGCCCCAATTTCGAGGCTTGGGAGTTACCTCGGCCCACCATCGGGCACGAAAGACGGATCTCAGGTGTCTCTATCACATCCGTGACCAAAGGCAGGAAGGACTTCGCGCTACAGAAGGTCGACCCATTCTTCACTGACGCTGATGGCGAGTACACGGACGAGTTCAAGCGCAAGTTGGCACAGCTGGACTCCAAGACGTCTGAGACGGACCTCTGCATCGAGCAGTATCTCGTCCGCAGCGAAAAGAAGTGGTTCGAGGAGTATAAGAGCGCCAAGCTTGGCCTCTCTTCCTCCCGCAACACATCCAAGCTCTCGCTCGCGGAGCCACATTCCGCGCTCAACCACTCGCGGTTCTTGGACGTCCCATCTAGGCCGACCTCCGTGCCGCCAACGCCATACACCCCCAGCATCATCTCATCCGCTTACTCGGAAGATGAGGATGAGCAAAGCCACCCCCATGCTCAGCGGTTCGTGTCCGAGTTTGACACCGAGGATGGCGCAGTGAACCCAACACACGCAACGCCAATCCAGAAGTTCATGCTCCGCAAGGTGTTTGACTGGCCCGTCTACACGATCATCCTTGCGTTCGGCCAGATCCTGGCTGCAAACTCGTACCAGATCTCGCTCTTGAATGGGGAGCAGGGGCAGACGGCCAACATGCTGTACACCATTGCGTCCATCTACGGCGGGACGTCGATTCTGTGGTGGATTGCTTTTCGGCGGCTGAAGTCGGTGTGGGTGTTGTCTACGCCGTTTGCGGTGTACGGTGTTGCCTTCATTTGCGCTGGATGTGCTCCCTTTGCTCCGTCTATTCCCACTCGCGGTTGGATTCAGAGCATTGCTTCGGGGTTCTACGCCGCTGCGAGCTCAAGCGGCAGTATGTTCTTTGCTCTCAACTTCGGTGACGAAGGTAAGTCTCCATTCTCGTCCCAATGCAGGTGGAACGACATGTTGACACTTCATCAGGTGGAGCACCTGTCCGGACCTGGGTGATTCGCGCCTGCGCTGTTCAAGGCGTGCAGCAAATCTACATCAGCGCGCTATGGTATTGGGGCTCAAAGCTCAGTTCCTATGATAGCAACGGCATCCCCGTCGCCCAAGCCTCCAACACGCTCATCAGCGCGATCGCTTTCCCTGTAGCCGTGCTGCTAATTGGGCTCTCGCTGCTCACTTTCTTCGGCCTCCCCGACTACTACCGTCAGACCCCGGGCTCCATCCCGTCCTTCTTTAAGTCCATCTTCCGCCGGAAACTGATCATGGTAAGGCACCCTGCGCCGCACAACCTCCCCCATCTCGACATACCGATACTGACTGCAGCGTGTCCAGTGCTTCCTCATCTCAGTCCTAATCCAAAACTACTGGCTGTCTTCTGTCTACGGCCGCAGTTGGCGCTTCCTGTGGACCTCGGCGCACGCCCCAGCCTGGCAGATTCTGCTCCTGGTGGTCCTCTTCTTCGGCATCATCTGGATCCTGCTCTTCGGCCAGCTCGCCCATCTCTCGGCCGAGCACAGCTGGATCTTCCCCGTGCTCGCCATCGGCCTTGGCGCCCCGCGCTGGGCGCAAATCTTCTGGGGTGTCTCGGGCGTCGGGACGTCCCTCCCCTGGTGTGGGTCGCCGGCCGCCGGGGCATTGGTCTCGCGCGCGCTGTGGCTCTGGCTCGGGGTGCTGGACGCACTGCAGGGGACCGGCGTCGGCATGATGCTGCTGCAGACGACGACGCGGTTCCATAACAACTTTGCTCTAGTGGCCGCGCAGGTGCTGGGGTCTATCGCGACTGCGGCGGGCAGGGCGAGTGCGCCGAACGCCATTGGACCTGGACCTGTGTTCCCCAACCTGGCTTTGAGTGTGGACGGGTTGGCGAATGGGTGGTTTTGGGTGTGTTTGCTGATGCAACTGGGGATTTGTGTTCTGTATGGGACCTTCTTTAGGAAGGAGCAGCTGAGCAAGCCTTGATGACGGATGATTGCTGGTGTACATCCTAGTGTTAAGTTCTGCTTGTTTCTTGGAGTCTTGGACAAGGGGGAATCGTATTTTGCCCTTGAAGTTGCCTGTCTGCTCAGAAGGGTTCAAAACTAATAGCTATGGGAAAAAAAAACCGCACCCTTTGAACAAGAAGACCAGAAGCTGTCGTTCTGGTGGGGAGGGCGAAGATGCGAATCGGGACCAGCTCCGAGACCTAATAGTTGGTAATCACCAATCCGCTGCACGGTCGCTGCGGTAAGTGGCTGAATCAGCCACTAAAACCACCTGGTGAATATAATGTTGGTAACGTATATGATAAGCGAGCGGCGCGGACCAGCGAGCGGCGCACTGGTAAGAGCTGCATTGACATTTAGCTGTAGCACTAACAGGTCATTTCTATACGTTATGGAGCTTTCGGTGATAAACCACGTTATGTGGCTGGGCAAATATAGCCAAAATAAACAACGCAAATTGGGGGTGCGAGTTGTCTTGCAAATATTCCAACAACCTTGATTTGCGTAGATTTGCGTTAATTTGACTATATTTGAGTTGTTGAGAGCGCTGCTCTGGACCTCACGGGTCCATGATATTTGAGGACTACAGTCAACCAGCAGGGCCGTGTTGGGCAGCCAACAGTTACATGCTCAAGTAAGCTTAGATCAACCAAATGGTATTGAACAGATTGAGGTATGAAATGAAGCTTGAATTGGAGTCACGATTCCAGAGTAACCACACAATGAAGGATCAAGATAGTGGGTTAGGGTGTCTCAGAATGTCCCCTTCTTCAGAAGATTGTCCTCTCTAATCCTCCCAGGGGAATTACCCCCTTATATAGAGACAGTGTGCCATGATATGACGTTATGTCAGGAACTGCGTCATTGTGATGGATCTGTGTTGACTGAGAGTCTCGCATTGAACATCAGTGCTCAGTCCGTGAATCTTGGTGCCAAGGAACCCACTCAGTTCAACAGGCCGGGTGCAGACAAATGCACAGATGTATGCGTCGAGGTTCAGTTAATGTAGGCGGAATTGCCTTGACAAAGACCAGCGTCGAAGGTAGAAGGCGGTACTTGTCTGCTCAATCCAACAGAAAATCGGATTTTTCGGAAGTTGAGCCGCCCTGCCAAGGGAGCGCGAGATGGCGGCGGCGGCGCAACCAGAGGCAGTGATCGAGGTGGCCGACCGCCCACCGTCACCGAAACGACCGAGCCGCGCCCCGAAACCGAGTGCGAAAGTCCGTGAAGCGATGCAATCGCTGGAGGATGCGGCCATTACGTCGAGAAGAACCGCAATCCATGCTACACGAAGCACCGCATCGAGAGGAACACGCGTACTGGGAAGCGG